GCATAGCTGAGGCCTTATTTTTACCGGTCGGCATATAAATTGTACTGATGTTTACTGTAGCTAGCGAAGACAAGCGGGATCGCGTATAGTTAACGGTATACAAGACCGTCATTGACCATCGGATTATGCTACTCTGCATAGGTGCAGTCTCATTATCAACGTTGCACATAAACGCGAGCCTAGCAGTTACAACAAGTATTCGAGATGAGTGAAAACTAGTAGAGATACGAGTACAAGGGGCCGTCGTTGCTCATTGGATTGGGCTGCCGCGCATATGTGGGGAACCCTAATTAGCGTCGCACATAGACACGGATTCAGCAGCTACAATAGGTAGTCGAGGAGGCTACCGTCATCGTGGTGACCGCTTCATGATTGGTGGTCACCATCTATAGAACGTCATAGTTATAATAGGAAAGACGCCCACAGCATTCTGGCAGCACTGTATTATCTACAAGCTAGCTATGCATATCTGGGAAAGAGGATCACCCACAGGTGTCCCTCGCACTGCCACTGCAAGTTTGTGCTGTTATCTAACTTTATTGCACTTATGGAACACGAGATCCATGGGGAAAATGTCTTGTGAACAAACAAAAATATCCCATTGGTTAAATCTGTCGTGTCTAAAGCAAACAAACGCCTGCGACTGATCCTATAGGGTGGCATCTGTATTAAATACTCTTAAGATGTTATTTTTATTCCTCGGGAACACCGCGGAACGCCAAAATATGCTAAAGTGCGATTTCCTGTTTTATGTCGCGTAAACCGGCAAAAAATCCAAATCGGCGATGGTCAATGACCTTGACATTTCGCTCACTTAAACAAAATGCTACGTGCAACATGTCACGGGAAGGTGCAAATTGATTAGACTAACTTCACATAAAAATGGCAACTTCGAAAACCCTATGGATTCGGCGAACTCAATTTCGGCGTGTCAATAGCCTGCGGCCGTGGTCACGTGCTTCTACTCTCTCTTCTGATTTCGCCCGCGTTTGTAGCGGCCATTCGCGAGTCTCATTTAGTAACCAAAATATTTCAGACGATTTTCGGAATCTGTTATGTGTGAAAACTGTTCAGAAGAAGACCTTTGGACCAACATAACTGGATTATTGTTTATTCGCTGAACTGGGCCAACGACGAACTATTTTAAAGAGAACAATTTTTAGTGAGTCTGTTCCATCTGACCTCCTTATGTTTGTATACCCAACCTAGCGTTATTATTTTTATTTCTTTGCCACACACTTTTGGTAACTTATTGGGTAGCTAGCCCACTACAGAGCTCTGATGTGCGAGGGAGCAGCGGTGGCAGACATGGGCCAGCCTTGAAGCCAGCAGGGCTCCCATACCAAAGTTATCGCCCCAAATGCACCGTCCATTGTAGTTGGTCAACTTTGTGCTCCAAATTGGACGGAGCTTCTTACGGTACATGGTGCTTAGAGTTGACAACCAGTCTGGTATTAAGAAAGAGGTACAGCCTGATTTTCGAATTCGTGTGCCTCCCAAGTTCACCTGGGAATAAGGGCACCTAGCGTTTCAAGACGTTTTCTAGTGAACACCAGGAAAATTGAGTTTCGGGATTGCAGTTGTCAGCTTTATCAGTAAACTAAGTTTTTCGTCCAGTTAAACCACATGAGGTCATTCTTGAGGCAGAGTGTCAGGCATTATGTGACTTGTGCCATCGAGCCATCAAAGGCCATGCATCAAGTAAACTCAGAAGCAAATATTAGCCTATCCCAGGAAGCAATGGGTGCCCACTGTTTACTAGGATTCACCTGACGTTTTCCGGCGCTTTTCCACACATATTCGCTGAGCATCGTAATGCTGCAATTCGTGAAGGGCAGTAAACTACCTACAGCGTTGTTGATGCGCACCGTTAACCTGACTTCGGCAACCGAGGTCATCATTGAACGTTGTTGTCTGACTTCAACCCTGTTTTTGGGCCGCATGAAAGTGAGGTGACGGTGTCGTCTTTTGAGATGGACGAATCTTGAGATGGACAAACCGGGTGCAGTCGCACCCTGCGCACTTCTGGACCCTGAGCCGTCATTGACGAACGAACTTTCACTCACGGCAATACGATCAGATTTAGGCAGCTTTGTCCCATGTTCAGCCGGACTTCTTCTCGAACATTATTTGGGGGTTGGAATCGATTGAATTCACGCAACTACTAAGAGAGACAGGTGATTGTCCCATCGCGATTTTGTCCAGATTAAAGTGAATGACATAATACCTGTTGGTGAGGTTTTACAACTTCGCATCACTGACGTTCAGTTCTATTGATTTACCAGGTTCTGATATCTGAATCGTTGGGTTTACGGAGCTAGTGTACAAAAATAGGACATTTGGATTTTTCTCCGTCGTCGTGCTGAGTTAAAAACGTTCGTTTTCAAAATGCGACCATTGTGGAACGTCGTCTTTTGTCATATTTAATCACCAGCTTGAGAAAGTGGTAACGGATACTGACCGGGAATGGTTGACCACCGAATGTGTGTGACCGGGTCTTGACCGAATCCTCAATGCTGGGATCGCAATGTGGGCTGCAGCTGATGAAGCTCGTGTATCTTTGATATGCCGGCATTCCGCCTTTTCGCTGCAATGAACTGACGAAAAAACGCGGCATCTTTAATATTGGTACGGTTTTGAAGATGGTAAGCAATCACACAAGTACGCGTGTAGGGCCGTGCGCTCTTTCAGCTAAAGTATACCCGCAAGCCCCTTTAAAAGCGATTGAGGGGCACATTACATGATGTGGTGAAATATTGGTAGCTCGGGTGAGTTTATTTGTTGTTGATCAGATGGCTGTTGATCTGTTCGCCGAGCTTGGCAATTGGCTTGCAAACGTTCCGTCACCATACGAGGAGACATCATCAGTGCGCAGTTGGGTGGGTACTTCTTCCTTGCCTGCGTGTGTTTATATAGCAGTCAAAATCCATCTGTTATCTTCTGATGTGATTGGCTACCTGAAGTGTAACGAGTCTAGTGAATCTATTGGTCCGTTTGTGATCCTTGTTGCGTTGTGGTCTGTGTTCCTTTGTGTTGATTGGTTATCCCAACGGCTTCTAATTTTAGTAGCTTGTTCTCTCTGGCCTTGATTCGCATTGCGTTGTGGTCTGCCGTTCTCGAGTTTGATTGGTTGCTTGTACCGCCCTATTTCCTCCACCGTGGCGGTTAATGTCCCTGCGTCCGCCGGTTGATTTGGTGCTTTGATTGGGCGCCTCCTCCAATCCAATTGATGTGTCCGTTTGAATGACGCTTTCTTGCTTCTTGTATGGGTTCCTCGTATGGTCGCTTTCGCGGCTCTAAGTTCTGTGGTTTTGGCGTTCTCTCGCTCTTAGTGGCTGGTAAATGGGATCAATTTCAATGTGTTTGTTGATGGCTTCTTCGGTGGAGTACCACGTCTCCATAAATTCGCGTTCTCGTTTCGTTCTTGCTTGAGCCAGTATGCGAACGCCGTTCCAGTCGAACTCGTGTCCTTCTTGGTCTTTGTGTGCGGAGATGAGGGAGAATTGATCGTGTCTTTTAGTGGCTAGTTTGTGTTCGTGTATTCTGGTGGAGAGCTTCCTTCCTGTTTGTCCTACGTACCGTTTGTCGCAGTCCTTGCATTGGATCCTGTATATGACATTGTTCTTCGCCATTGGATCTAACTTCCCCTTTGGTCTTGATAGTGTCCTCCGCAGAGTATTCGCAGGCTTGTAGGCGACCATTGTATTGTGCTGTCGTAGGAGCCTTGCCGTCATTTCAGCGGTGTTCTTGATGTACGGAAGTGTGACACGTTTGCTTGCAGTTTGTCCTGTTGCATCGATCGTATTTGGCTTCCTGAGTGTTCTCCAGATGAAATTCCTCGGGTATCCATTTTTCTGAAACAATCTGTATAGGCGCTTTTCTTCTTAGATTTTAGATTCTGTTGTGCTGCAGTGTGTCTCGATCCGCTTGAAAAGTGTCCGAATGCAGCTTCGTTTGTGGCAATTTGGATGGTTGCTGTGGTAGCTGAGGATTTGGTCCGTATGTGTCGCCTTTCTAAAGACCTCAGTTTGTAGTTGTCCGTTCGGCAATCTAGTGATGAGGATGTCCAGGAACGCCAGTTTTCCGTTGTTTTCTTCCTCGGTTTTGAAGTTGATGTCGTCGGAAACAGTTGTCTCACTCGTTGCAGTTCGCTCCTTTTGATGATCACAAATGTATCGTCTACGTAACGGATCCATATTTTGGGATTTATATCGGGCAACACAATTTGTTCCAACTCTACACTACATTACATGCACATTACATGTTAACTATGTCTACCAAAATAATTCGGAGAACTTTCAACACAATTTGGGCAACACACCACAGGATCTCACGCGCTCCACAGGTGAAACATAACGCCAACATCAGTTATGGAAGGTACCATTGTAGACCATTAGTACCTTCCTCAAGGTGATTTCCATTCAATACTCTCACTTCCCCCAAACCTCTTATACAGTCCGCGTCATTCCATTCAAATGGAAGACGGTAGAATATTGACATTTTTAGATGCTGTCTATGATAGACATCACGGTAATGGCGTGGATGAGCAGTTTTGCGTTGTATGACTTTCATCTTGCTTCTTTCACTTCCCTGTTCCCCACTGAACTTGGTAACGCCTAATCCTCTCGTACCCCAGGGCACAGACCAGCGCACCTATTTGTCACACATAACTGGGCCCCATCTCTTGTGCTTAGTGGTGGTGCTTGGTGGTTGCTTGCGTGTGCGCTGGCATCCTAATGATGAGGATCCTGGTTACCAGAGGTCTTCACCGTCATTGCATCTAACGTGGTATTCACTGGCCACAAGTCCCGACTAGTTATTGTGCATGGAATTGCGACCGGGCTGCCTGTGACCGGAATTTTGGACAACGCTACTTTCCCCGCTTGAGCGGCAATATAAAAAACCGTGGTGCAATGTCTCGGCGGCCTCCTGGAACCGTGCCCCTCCAAATGGGTAAATACCGCCAACGCTCATAGTGGCTTTCGCCAACTGCATCCCGCATGTTCTGCGGGTGCCTTCATGCGGTCCAGCCGGCGCTAATTGCAACAGTACCGGAAGTCTATCCCTACCCGAGTCACCTGCTCAATCTGGCCAGTAACCAGAGTGGTACTAACTCTCCACTCGACGATGTGATAGAGGCTATTGGGGTGTCACCTATTTGCTTGTCCCACCGTCTGTTGCCAACAGAACAGCCGCCGGTGGGTAGTGGGAAAATCCGCCAGTTCACGCCCCTCTCCGGCACCGAGCAGGGCTTCCATGATAACGAAAGTCCCTGGGCCAATCAGATGTACCGACATACTTGAACACTTCACACTAATGTTCGGCGCTGGAAATCGGACGATTTTGATTGGCGATCGAAAAAATAGTGTACTCCACCCTCACAGAATTCGGCCATTTTCCTCTCATTTCACCTCGTACTTCCTAATGACCTATCAAGTCTGGAACTATTCAACACCCTCACTGGCCTGACGCGAGGCTTGCAGGATTCTGCTTACGGCACCATACCGCTAGCAGGCCCTCACGCGCTGTACCCCGGTACGCCCAAGCCCTCGGCGTCTTACTGGAATAATCTCCGCACAACCTACTTCGAATCTCCGTCGCGGGAGACTGATGCTGTTTCATTCACCCACAATTCTCCACATCAACCCCTTAATATGTCCGCAATTAGAACACAACCGAGCAAAGTCTGTTTTATGATTAAATGGCAATCCATCCAGTCACTGTTCCGATAACCGGTCCCGGACACATACAGCACTACTTGAGGGTTGACAGTGGCCATAAGATCCAGACAGTCCCGCTGTCGCACGGCATTAGGTACCATACGTATCTCGTAATGCCTGGATTGCAGCCGCGGATTGTGCTTCGTTCATTCATCCTCGAATTATCTACTACTCGTCGGCCTCCAGTATGCACAGCGCACATCCAAACACGCAAACTCTTAAACAGCCTCCACCACCGTGAACTCCGATGGATGAGAGTCCGGGAAAATTTCACCGTCCTCTTTTAGTCATGTGATTGAACCCTGTGATGGCAGAAACGTAGAAGGCATAGCCGGCAACCGGGACCATGGCTGGACACCAGCGTTTTATTGGCCTCGCGAACGACCATAGTTGTTCATACTTCGTCACGAGCACGGCATGTGCACACTAACGCATCTTCTTTGAGAGAGCCCTGGAAGTTCTTGGCCGCCAGCGTTGCTTCTTTTGTCTGAAACGCGGTTAAACAGGCCTTCACCACCGCAAAAGCTCGTGTGGGAATTAAGTTTCTTACTCTGAATCACCTGGATTCATCGCAAAAACCCATCTGCATTAATGTGCGTCACAGGCAATGCCCCGTGAAATGCCATAGGTTCTGTTGTTAGGCAGTGTCTCAGAGTTGGTTCTCATTTTCTATCGTCCATTTTTAGACCTTCGTTAGCGCACTGGCAGTTACCCGGCCCGCCAATGCTAAAAAACTATCGACATACAGCAGACCCTTATAGCGAATTCGGGCCGCCCGCTTCCAACTGAATCTTGTCTGACCCATGCCGGTAAACCCTTATCACACTTGAAGAGACTCCGAATCTCACTGATTTGCGTCATTCCCTCTGCTAGTTGATCGGGTTCTGTGCCCATTTCTGGGATTCCAGGGACACTGCACGTCGAGCGCCCGCTAGAGATTAATCGGGACCTATGTCTGCCCGGCCACTAAAACAACCAGCTGCGCTTCACTGTTTGAATCGCCATCAGTTAGCCGGCTTCCCTCAATGTTCATGGTAACAGGAACGATCTGTGTCTCATGGCAAGCGGCTACCGGTGGCCGAAATCTTTGTTGCATGCACCCAGCGCCACTCCGCCGCGGTCAGATGCGCCACATTTACTTCTCTTAGACAGGAGAGTTACCGTGAAACGAGGCTCCCAAACCAACGAGCGGATCTTTGTGTGAACTTTAAGCATAAGTTTTCACCGGAAAGCCTGGAATGGGATGTCCACAGCTCATCCTGCTCTTTATTGTCATCACGCATGTGGGCTTTGACCACCTCAGCCAATTTCCACGGGGCTCGGCAACACACTTACGCCTGGATGCGTTCAAGCGGTTTTCGAGCTTATCGCGGTCTGTATACCATGGACAGTGCGAGGTTGAACATCCCAAAAGATGCACCGAGACTTTTCGTACACAACCGGAAAAGCTCGTGTGGGAATTAAGTTTCTTACGTATATCGGTATAACCCGACAAACTAGAAATCCAGAATTCAGCGAAGAGTGGCAACCAGCACGTATGTATTCGAATTGGCGAATATGTACAGCATATGGAAT